ACCCACAATCCTCCCCCCACCCATCCCCCACACCCACACCCCACACGCACACCCCACACCCACCCACACTCACACTCCACACTCACACCCACCCACACCCACACTCCACACCCATAAATTTCAATATTAGACAAAATGGAGTAAGAGATATTGATCTAGACGAAAATCGAGAGATTCAACATTGATTAGCGCACTGCATTGAATAAAATATTTGATACTAGCGTTCCCTATATGAAATTTTTTTTTGAACCCTGACATAGATGCTCAGAATGCGATACTATGGACAACAAAGCGATATTCTCATATATCAAGATAAAATAGTTAATTATAATCTTTTTTTTCAAACATGTGTAACGAAAAGGTATAGTTAATGTTGAATTGTTTAATTTTTTTAGATTAAACGAAAATTACACAACACACATAATGAGTAACGATACTAATGTTTTATCTATTATTGATAAAGAAGTAGGGATAATTGAATTATTGCATCATCAACTTTAGATAGTAGTAGTATTAGTTGATGGTTATATCAATTGTTGCATTTCATTAGGAAACATTCGATATTGATGAGTTTAGAAGGGACGGAGTTGAAAATTCGCAAACAGTTGATGATCCTGTAACTGAATCACTCCTAAGATAATAATACAGCGGATGATAAAAAATTTCTTTCAATGTTTTAGAATCGTCCAGTGAAAGATGAAAAAATAAATAGTGATTTATTAAAAGAAGAGAATCGGCTATTGAAACAAGAAAATGTAGAACTGAGAGCACAAATTATTGTTGGACAACGAAAAACTTGGTTCACGTTGCGATGGTTTGGAAAAAAATGGAACTTGAAAAAAAATTAGAAGATAGCGGTGATGATTCTAATTCTCCTTCATTATATAAAAAGTAGTAAGCCAGGAGAATATTTTATTAGTAAAAATGACTGATTTTTTTTTCTTGTCGTTAATCTGATTTTTTTTCTTTTTGCCAATCTTATGTTTTTTTTGTTAATCTGATCTTCTTGTTGTTGATGAATATTTACTTAAAAATATTTAATCACTGTCTTTTTTTGTAAACTTAGAAGATTCATGTATGTATATATCAGACTGGTTGAAAGAAATATATATATTATTTTTTTTTCTTATATTTGTGTATCTAGCCTGTGTTGTCTCTTTACTTGTTTGCATGGTATGTACTTTTATAATCATATGTATGAAGAAAAATAAACATGCAACAAGAATAAAAAAATGTTTTAAGTTTATGTCCATTATATTGTTTTTTGAAAAGCCATGGACAAGTACAACCCCGTTAGCGATCGTAGATTAATTGAAATAAAAACTTTAAGTTAATGAATATATACTTGATGAAATTTATAATAATTTTTTCAGGAGACTTCATAATACATTAGGTTAGAAAATAAATATTAAAAAAAGAAAAGATACTCAAGAAATTTGTAGATAACATTGTTTAGATATTAAAAATTTTTGTCTATAACTATAATAAATTTCAATATTAGACTAAATGGAGTAAGAGATATTGATCTAGGCAAAAATCGAGAGATTCAATGAGATACGTGGTAATAATATTTTAAATAGATCTCTAAAAATTTATGAAAATATAACTGAATAATTTCAATATTGAATGATTTTGTTTTTGAAAAAGAGTAATTTCAAGATTTAATATAGTTTAGTTTCATGATTAAATATACACAGAGTTGGAAATAATATTTTTTCGCAAAGGAATAGACCTCTAAACACAAATTATACCAACATTGAATTTTATATGAACTCTTATTTATACTGTTAAGTCCCAATTTAGATAAACTTTTGTTTGGGATAAAAATTAATATTATTATTATTTGTATTTTTTTTTCAAGATTAAGAACAAATTCTAATGCATTATGAGAATATATAGTTTCCGAGATTATCCTTTAGAAAACAATAAAAAGAAAATAAATGACATATAGTTTGCAAAAACAAAAGATTCCTTTTTTTTGTCCCATAGAATCAGGTATTTATTATATATCTATTTAAAATTTAATAAATTTTGATCAACAAAAAGAATATTTAAAAAATAAACAATGAAATAATAATCATAATATACATCAAATTATTGGTGAAAATTTTTGTAAACTTGGTTGTTTTTTAACTTATTAACAAACTTCTATTCTTGTTGATTATGTTGATTCAGAATATGAATATGAACTTTCATCTTTAATTACAATACATAATATTATTCCACAACGAACGTTTTAAAATTTTATTAAAATCAACAAATAATGAAATTAATATTCATGAACTTTCTACAATAATTCTTCCAAAACAACAAATGTAAGTTATAATATAGATAAAACGAAACAAAACAAAAAAAAATAAAATTCTTTTTCTTAATTGAAAAAAGTCAAATATTTATTTAGAATTGAATGTAAAATTCTTCTTGATTCATTTCATCAACATATTAATTATCGAAAAAAACGTTTTAAATCCATTGAACATTTACAAAAACTTCTTCTTTCATTAATATTAATTGAAAAATTTCTAGAAATGATTTCTAATTTAAGTATAGAATATTTTACTCATATTGAACTTGATTATCTTGAAGAAATAAAATTAATAGATATTGGTGTATTTGCAATTTTACTTACATTACCATCATATAATCCTTTAATTCATCAACATAAATATGAATAGTTTTCTAATAAAGATAATCTTATTCAAAATTATGAACAAATTCCTAACAGTTAGTTTATGACATATATTAAAAAGTATTTTCAAGAGTATGATGCTCTCCAGCTCTTATATAACATGTCTTCTAATTTGGTCAGATTGTAGATAATACCTTCAAGTGTCGGAATATTACAATATCTTTTAGGATTGAGTAAGATCTAACAGAAGTTATAAGATTTGCAAAAATCGATTTTCCTACTCTTACAATATCTTCCAGGCAAAATCTCGTTCATGAAAATTTGTTTAATGAGTTTGCCTCTATGGGATGACATATTTTTCTTTTAGCAGAAATGTCGTTTTCCTGAAGCTAGAAGCTCTTTCAAGATGTATCTCCAAGTGAAATCTAATATACTATGAAAAATAAAGGTTTTATAAAATATTAAATTATACACTTTAGCATTTTTACTGAAACTTTATATGTACAAGTGCCTACTGGTCAGATATATTATCTCTAAATTACGAGTAGTAAGAATTACTTTTTTGTGCAAACATTCAAATATATTGGAGGTACTCTCTACAATCCGACCAAATTTGAAAGTATATTGTAGGAGAAGGAGAAAACCTTCCTTAAATAACAAGAACGAAAATATATTTTTTCCTTAGTATCACAAAATTATTTAAATATTCTTGATCCAATTATTGAAAAATATTCTATATATTTAACTAGAATTATTTATACGAATTATTTCAAATAAAGAACATTTTGAGAATATCAATGAAATTTTACTATAAAATTCAGATTATTATTTATCAAGAGAAGAAGTTCTTAAAATTTGTGCTTATGAACAAATATTAACATATGATAATATTCAATATATTTGTCAAGAAATATTTTCTACTAAACAAATATAAAATACAAATAATCAATTTCATCATGAACAAAAATCATCAATTGATATGAGTTTAGAAAATATAAAAGAACAATATAATAATAAATCTTTAACTTTAAATATCGATCAACATGATAATGATCGTAAAAGTGAAGAAATGAATATTACCAGAAGTAAACTACAAAAAAAAACAAAAAGAAAATATTCATAATCTGAGACGTCATGGTAAACCTCAAACCATAACTGGTTTTTTACTAAATATTCGATTATTGATTTTTGCTTATTGACAAAGACAAACATAAATATCAGAAAAGCAGAGGTAAACGATGAAAAACGAAAAATATTATTTCAGTGATATTAATTTTTTCATGGTCACGGTAACAATGATTATTCGTTCCATCTTAATGTCGTACTTTTCTCATCATTCTCAATTTTATCTCCACTAGAGCTTGTCAGATTCGAAATTTTTGGACCCAGGTTCGAGATCAACCTGACGGACTTTAATCTCTACCTTTGATATGGTAAATTTCTAATTTCTTAACTATTTTCGGAATGATATGATTTAAGAGCAAAGATAATTATATTTATATTAGTTCAAGTGCCTAGAAATTTTTTCAATCAATAGACATTTAAAAGAACTGAAAGTTTTAATAACCATGACATGTAGATTTTAAAATTAATATTAACTTGAGATTTTCTATTTATTTTAGTGACAAGATTAGACTTACGCGAAACTAATATAACACTTCAATCAATACTTGATTGTTACACTCAAAATATGTCTATGTCTATCTATACTCATAATTCTGTTCTTTGACATAAAATAGAATAAACAGTTATAAAAACTATATTTTATTATATTCTTCATTTTAATCATCGAGTTATGATCAATGAACAATTAAGACAATTATTGAATGGATTTAAACCTTTTACTTTTTATAAAGTTCAATTATTAATTGAAAAAAAAATTATAGTTATTAAATTATTATTAAACATACGTAAACAACAAGCACCATTAACAATTCATGATCTAGATAGTTATCTCGAATCATATACAATACCATGTCGATTGTGAGCTGCCTTTTTTTATGAAACACGATCTAAAAGAAATGTCGAAGTATATAATGGCGGATATAAGTTTGGAGCAGTTGTATTTTTAAGTTTTCTTCTCGACGATAATAACTAACAAGAATCTGAAAAAAACATTTGTGTAACTGGAAGGATTCTCTATCAAGATTAGTAGGCAACTAGCTTTTCAACTTCCATTTAAAGTGTTTGAAAAAAGTTTTCTTAATAGAGCAAATGATTCTGAGCAAAATGAGGCATCTCCAATTTCTCCATGATCTTCCTTCATCAAACTGTATTCAATTTACAGAAATCCCAAGAAGCATTTTTCTCTTATTTTAATTGAAAATTTCTATTTTTTGCCATGTTTAACACTTTGAGGCGTTCTGTAAATTAAATGCAGTTCGATGAGGGAAGATCATATAGAAATTGGAGACGCCTCATTTTGCTCAGAATTATTTTCTTTATCAAATAAAATTTTATTCTAAAAGTTTTGAGTGAAAGCCAGAAAGCTGATTTTAGAGGGAGGTCCTGATCTTCCGAAGATACTCATTTAAGTAGTTTTGTTGCCTATCAATTCTGATCCTGATAGAAAAACCTTTAAGTTACACAAATATTTTTTTCAGATTCTTGTTAGCTATTACCGTCGAGAAGAAAACTTAAAAATACAGCTACAATAAAGAAATTCTTCTATTTAAAGAGATATAGTCAATGAATTACGTCATTCAAAAATAATTTTACAATCACTTGATAATAATTATACAATGAATAAATGTTATGAATTAAAAGTAACTATTTCATAAAGTTCAAGCTATTTTTCTTTTTTATATGATGATTAAATTAATTGAAAAAGAAGATTATATTGATGAAATTAATATAAGAGAAATTTTTAATCAATATCAAACAAATACTACTGAAAATTAAAAATTTAATATTATTTATAAACATATTTTATGTAATGATTTTCTTTCAATTGAACAAATAATTCAATCAGATAAAGATTTTTTTTCTACAATATGTAAATAAATAGGAAAAAAAAAGAAAAAATATGATGTATTTTTAATTTACTATCTTAATTAAGATACTAAATTGAAAATAAATCAAGTCCATATAAAACTATTATTCAAGAACAATTCTTAATTAATATATTTTATCGTAAACAATTAAATAATACATAATTTGAATTAGTACTTAATCAAAATATGCGTCAACATCAAGTTATTCAAACAAATATATTAAGTAATCAAATAAAATATGTTAAAATAGTAAAAGAAAAAGTTCAACGAAAAGTTGATCATCTTCTTTTAAAAATAGATAAAAATACACAATCATATTCTAAACCAATAATAAGATCATCTTGTTTAACATATAATAATCTTGTTAAATAACATAAATCTATTATTGAAAATAATCAACAATTATTAACAATAAATAAATAATTATTACCAAACTTACGTACATTACGTCAATAATTATATACAATCGAAAATACCACGAAATCAATTACATTTATTAGTTGAACAAGGTAGGTTGAAATAATGATATATATCTTGAATTTAAACTTCAACTTAATATTATTGATTCTGATAATTGATTAGATTTTATATGACATATAATATATAATATATCATTATTAATTAAAGAAAATGATTCTATTTCTGAAAAATCATTAGTGAAACATTTTCAACAACATAAAAATTTATTTCATGCAGATTTTTAATTATTACTTATTCGTTATGGTATGAAAATATTAGAAGATCTTATAGATTTATTAATTTTTAGTAAATTAGCTAAATTTAATTATATTAAATCTTATGCTAAAACAATATTCTGTCTTAATATAAATCTATATATATAAAGAAGAATGTTTGTCTGTTTGTTTGTTCGCTATGCAATCCTAGACGGTACGAGCAAATGCAACCAAACTTTCCAGAAATCTTTCTCTCATCCAGGAGAAGGTCAACGTCTACTTTTTTTTCAAAAAAAGTTGGTCCTTCGCCCGGAAAATGCCTGCCTATGTTGTTAACCAATCAGATTGCAGTGTTTGATACTGTAGAAGTACTGTTAAGCACCATTTCGTGAACACGCAGAAATATGGAACCAGAGGTTTTCGAGGATGGTGAGTTCGAATCTGAGGTCCATTTGCCTCGAAATCTGATTGGTTGTTCGGAGCCCAATAGAAATTCAGCTGTGAAGAAAATAGACCCAAACACTTATACTTTCAAGGAAATGATGGGGCAGGGGATTCTAGAGGCGGTGTGTTCGAATCTGAGGTCCATTTGCCTCGAAATCTGATTGGTTGTTTGGGAACCAATAGGAATTCAGCTGTGAAGAAAATAGAGCCAAACACTTATACTTTCAAGGAAATGATGGGGCAGGGGGTTTTTAGAGGCGGTGAGTTCGAATCTGATGTTTATTCGTCTCCAAACTTGATTGGTTGTTTGGAAACCAATAGGAACTCAGCTCTTAAGAAAACACATCCAAATACTTACATTTTCAAGAGAGTGATGGGGCCGGGGAGTTTTGGAGACGATGAGTTCGAATCTGAGGTCTGGTTGCCTTGAAATCTGATTGGCTGTTTGGAAACCAACAGGAACACAGCTCCTAAGAAAACAGAACAAGACACTTATACTTTCAGGAAAATGATGGGGCATGGGGTTTTTGGACATAATAAGTTCGAATCTGGGCTCCGTTAGTCCCAAAATCGGAGTAGTTGTCCGAAGACGAATAGGAATTCAGCTGCCAAGGAACCAGCTAATTGAAATTGGTTTTCACGAGAAAAGTGAGGTAGGAGTTTTCAGAGGCAGTGAGTTCGAATTAGGGATCTAGACACTGAATGTGAGTATAGGGTATGGAAGCGAGTATCTTCTTCCGTTTATATAAACAACAATATTTGTCTGTGTGTTCTTTGTACATTTGGTTTCAGTAATAACTAGCGCCATCAAACTTTTGCATGGGGTACCCCTTAGTCTAGAGAAAAATTGAGACGAGATTGGTGCGACAGACAAGCAAAAAGGAAGGTGTGGGTGTGTGTGGATGTGGGTGCGGGCGTGGCAGTGTGGATGTGGTGGTGCGGGTGTAGGTGTCGGGGTGAGTGTGTATGGGTGTAGTGTCTGTGGGTGTCGGTGTGGAGTGTGAATGTGGGGTGTGGGATGTAAGTGCGGGTGTTGGCGTGGAATGTGAATGTGGGGTGTGGGAGGCGAGTGTGGGTGTTGGCGTGGAGCGTGGATGTGGGGTGTGAGTGTGGATGTTGGTGTGGGGTATGGATGTGGGTGTAGGTACGATGTGGGTGTAAACGCGGATTTGGATAGGTTGAGGATTAATACCCACACCCACGACGTCTTTTCCTAATATGTCAAGTATATAGTATCAAATTATCTCGACCACCATCGGGTACGTCCGCTAGTGTTCCTATATAATGAATAACTCATTCATCTTTATTTTTAATATAATTATTAAATAACTTAAATGTATTCTCCCAATCTTTTTTAGCATCTGTAATATTAAAGTTTTGATAGAAAATATACTTATAAATATCATTTGTTAATTGTTTATTCATTGTTGATATATATAATAAATCATAACGATATGGTAAAAGGCAGTTAAATATATGATGAAATTTTTTTAAAGAATTTTCTACTTCTTGAAAATTTTTAATAAAATCTGAAATAATATGTAAAATTTTTTTAGCCGTTTGATTTATAGCTTTAATATCCTGATTGTTTTCATCTTTTAATATTTTTACATAATGAAAATACTTCTTCTCTATTGAAAAAAGTCTTTTCAGTACTAAGTCGATTTTTCAGAAATTCTATAAACTTAATATAAAATGATTATTGTGAAGAATCATCTGAA